ATCACTGTCAGGCAGCGGAAACATCCCAAGAATTCTTTCTTCCTTGGAACACTATTCCGGGAAAAGTGAGCCTGAATATTGCTTCCAGGCCTGACTGCAGTTTCTATTAGGCTGATCCAATTTGCAGCCCCTCCAGCAGGCACTCAATGTCCCAGGGCAAGGAGGGGGCGCTTCTTTGAAGAATCAGTATCAGATGCTGAGGCCATCCCGATCATTGGCCTTTGGGCAAAACGCATAAACTTGAAATGGCAAAACTTCCAACAAAGTTCATTAGAACATCTGGGCACCTTATCAGGGATTTATCAAGCTTTCCAGAGTTGATCCTAGCCTTGTTTTAATGAAAATCGCCTGTTGATGAACAATTTATGCCAAGAATTTTTCCTTGTCTTCTCCTCTTTCTCCTTCTGCTTCTCCTTCTTCTCTCTGCACGTCCCTGGCTCTTATCACTGCAAAAGTTAATTCTGAAATAGTGAACAAGCCTCATATGTCCAGGCCTGCTACATACACTGTTATTATCAAACATTTGTGCTTAGGTTAACCACTCTATGTCAACATAAATAAGTGTAGTGGACATCCATCATCACAGCTTGAACTGGGGAATTGCATGAGGTTGAATTACCCTCTACTTTTGCAACTGGGTCATTGGCCAAGATAACACAACCTTTCAGTCTTCATTTGTATAAGTTAAGAAAGATCGTCATATGTTTTACTGATTTTAAAACTGGTAATTTTATACTAGTCACATATTTCAACTAACTAATTGTTATTCCTCTGTAATTGTGCCTTAAGATGACTTAACCCTACAAGTTGCAATTATAAAATTAAAATAAATAACGATATTCTGACAGAGTACTACCCATCATGTAAATCAACAAGCTTTGTTCATAGCCTTGGGGAAAAATAATGCTCTTTGAATAATCAAAATGCTATTACCATAACATTACCATACACTTTTATTTCTCTGCTCTCCCATGACTCAGTTGGTATGTTTGGTTGTTTTTTTTTTGATTCCTTGATTTACATGAATAAATTAGCTTACAATGGCAGCTAATGAGACAAAGAAAGGGGATACTGTTGCAGGCTAAGTGAGGGGCAGCCTTGGGAATGGAAATTCTCAGAAAACTCTCCAGGCCTAAAGATAGAAACTCTAGAGCCCCAGTGGTCCGGAAGACAGAAAAGACGCCCAGGCCTGGAAAGAGGTGTCACAACCCAAGGACCTGAAAAGCTGGTGGATGGTAAATACATTTTACAGGAGGCCATTGGTTTGGACCAAGCTAGGCCCCAGCAGACCACACCAAGCCAGAATGGAGTCCCTTGTGCTCAGTGCCACAGAATCAGGCTCAACTTTGAAACAGGTCGGTTTTCCCAAAAAACCCAACATATTACAGTCAACCTGAATCCTCGTAATAAGGAAGTCCCCTCTGTTTTAACCCTAGAAGGAAAGTAACTTAGAAGCACCCAATCTGCTTTTTTGTCCCATCTCTGCTTTCTTCAGTCCTTTTCTGCCTATAGAACTAACCACCTCGGGCTGGGCACAGTGGCTCACGCCTATAATCCCAACACTTTGGGACGCCGAGGTGGGCAGATCAGCCGTGGTCAGGAGTTTGAGACCAACCTGGCCAACATGGTGAAATCCTGTCTCTACCAAAAATACGAAAATTAGCCGGGCGTAGTGGTGGATGCCTGTAATCCCAGCTACTCAGGAGGCTGAGGCATGAGAATCGCCGGAACCTCAGAGGCGGAGGTTGCAGTGAGGCGAGATTGCACCATTGCACTCTAGCCTGGGCAACAAGAGTGAAACTCCGTCACAAAGCAAACAAACAAATAAACAACAACAACAAAAACTAACTGCTCCTGCTCATCCCATTGGAGCACCCATTCTACTTTACAGAAAGCGATGTTGCCCCATTCTAGAATCACAAACAAAAGCGAATTCGATCTTGGAACTACATTTGTGGTAATTTTGTCTTTTGATAATGGGGTTGAGGAGAGGGAGGGATGAGTAGCTGGAACACAGAGTATCTTTAGGGTGGTGAGACTGCTCTGTGTGATACTACGGTGGCAGATAATGTCATTAGGCATTTCCTCAAACCATAGAATGTATTAAATATAACTCCAAGACTGAGCCGGAATGCACACCGTGTGCTCTGAGCGATAATGATTCGTCAGTGAAGGTTCATCCATTGTAAGTCACGTCTCACGGGGTGGGGATGCCGATGGTCGGAAAGGCTGAGAGGGGGACAGGGGGTGCACGGGAAATCTCTGTGCTCTCCCCTCAAGTTGTGAACCTAAAACTGCTTTAAACAATAGATCCTATTTAAAAAATTGTGTACAATGGGATCCATATTTCCACAGCTGTAGATTTCACATTCACTGTCCACATGCAACAGAACAGCACTGGATCTTTCATTTGGAGGCTACTTGCCTTAGAAATGAAGCTTTCGAGTCAGATGAGAACATCTAAAACGGGGGCTCTCTGCTGGCCTCCAGGTTACATCATTAGGATATTATCGTAATGACACACAGCGGCCAAACACATTCAGTCACTCAGCTTGAAGTCTGTGCTCTTTCTCCTCACTAAATCCCAGCCCTAAGGGCAGAGTCTGAACACAGGCACTTCCTAGTCAGCCCTAAAGAACCACGTGGTGGTGCGGCATGGTGGTTGGGATGAGGCATTTAAAAGACTGTTTCTCTTTTCAGTCACAGGAGAGTGGAAGACATTTCCAGTTAGTTAAATGAAGCACAGAGGCTGAGCCAAAGGCAGCATTTTTCCCACCTCCTTAGGTTTTCTAAGAGGGAATGAAATTTCCACTACAGTCCTCTGGGGAAAAACTGGGGAGGAGTCTTGTGGCTTCTCTCCATCCCTCACCCTCTCCTCCCCAGAGAATGGCAACCTCTGTTTAACGGGTTCATTTGGGAGAAGGAAGTAAGGGCAAGCGCACCTCTGCCTCTCCTGGGCTCCCCATCTTCAGGCCGGGTCAGGGGTCCTGCCTTACTCTCTCCAGCCGGGTGAGGGATGGCACTAGAACTGTGTCTGAGGCTCACAGGGAGTTTGACCTTTTCAGGGTTTTTTAAAATTTTATTTTATTTTATTTTATTTTTTATTTAAAAGGCCCTTGTGGCTGCTGGTCCTGCATTTTTCAACAGAGCTAGTAGTTTTTCATCTCTATCTGATTCTTGTAATTGCATCCAATATCTCGTGAGCCATGGGGGGCAGGATCCTAAAAATCACAGCAGGCTAAGGTGGAGGGTTGAAATCTACGTACAGAAAATGGTATGTCCACAGGTCTAGCAAAAGAAGGAGGGCGGAGCTCATGCCCAAGGACCAAAGAACAGCCAGGCCTCCTCTCTGCTGTCCCTCTGGCCCAAGGGAGAGACAAAGGATGGAGGAAGCTCCTGGTCTTCTCTGCTCAGGGCCTTACTTGTTCCTGTTGTGTCTTGCGTGTACATCTCTGTCTCCAAGCCACGTCTCCAGAACCTGCCAAGCTGGTTGATGCACTGTCTTCATTTTATTCTCGTCTTTATTTTTAAATTCACTTTTAAATTTCATACATAACGTACACATATAGTCTCACTATAAAAATGTTAAATCCTACAAAGTAAATATCCCACGTAAACTTCCCCCAACCCCCGCTCCATCCTCCGTCTTAACACTTTTCTCTGAGAACCACCTGCTGCAAACATTTCCTGAAGACCCACTTCGGGGGCCCCTACTGTGATGAGGCCCACCCCTCCAGACCACACTACCTGCCGCCCCCTCTCCCAAGCACCAGATTCAGCTTATTGAACACCCACTGCAGCTACAGCTTATCAGAAACATATTGACCAAATGCAGTGCGTGAATCTTTTTTGGATCCATGATTCAAACAAACAGATGGGATCATTAATAGATACTGATGAGACATTTGGAAATGTGAGCCATGACTGGATACGGGATGATGATCAGGAATCATTGTGAATATTGCTGACATGTGACAAGGGATTTGGGTCTTTATATGAATAAGTCCTTGCCTTTTAGATATATAATCTGAAACCTGTATGACTGAACTTCTGTGAGGCCTGGAATTTGCTTCAGAATGGTACTAAGCAGGGGGCAGAAGCTGGGGGTAAAATTGAAACAAGATTGGCCATGCGTGGATAATTGTTAAAGCTGACTGTGGGAATCTGGACGTTTTCTTCTGCATGTGCTTAGAATTTTCCATAATAAATTTTTTTTTTTTTTTTTTTTAAAGCACAAGACCCTGCCCTGGCCGAGTTTCGCTGATACAGTCCTGGGGAATGAATCTGTTCTTGTCACCCTCAGGACCTCTGGAGTTGGGGACAGCTGACAGACGGGGAGGGCTGCTGGCAGGTGTGGGCACTCACCCAGCTGAGAAGGGGCTGTGGGAGTGGGAGTGGCCCTGACCCCATTAATGAAACTGGACTACTCTCCGCAGAGCGCCAAGCTCAGTCTTGGACTCAGATGGAAAACATGAACAGCATCCTTTGCGATGACCCCGCTTTGAGGTTCCCGTCATTTCATTGTAGGACGAGGTTCCCACACCCCGTCTTAATTTGAAACATTCAGGCACATCTCTTCCCCATTATGAAGCAGCGGAGAGATGAAGGTCTTAGAAGCAGCCTTGCTCTGATTGCACGGTGGAGTTTCTGCCCCGGAACGTGGGCGTCCTGACACATGGGATGCTAGAAGCAGATGTGGCTGAGCAGAGCTTAGGACTCTGACCAGGAGTCAGAGATGATTGGGATATTTACTTTGAAAGTAGCCTCTGTAGATGGGAAATGATTAATTCGCTCTGAGGAATTTTATGTTCTGCAGGGTGATACCCTCAGGAAAGAAAGGGCCTCTTTGAGAAAGCCAGATTGAGAAGGTTTCCCTCGGTGTCCCAGCACATCAAAGCCCCTTCCTTCCCACAGTCACTTAATTGTCTGCCTTCACAAGAAGGGAGGCAGCAAGGAGGCCAGGGATGGGGAGAGGGAGAGAGGGAGAAAAGCTATTTTACCTGCTCTGGAAAAGTTGTGGATCATCCAAGGACATTAGCAAGAAAGTGAAAAGACAACCTAGGGAATGGGAAATATATATTTAGAAATCATATGTCTGATAAAGGTTTAACATCCAGAATATGTAAAGAATGTCCACAACTCAACAACAGAAAGACATACAACCCAATTTTAAAATGTGCAAAGACTTTGAATAGACAGTTCTCCAAAGAAGATATACGAACGGCCAATAAGGACATGAAAAATCAGCATCATTAGTTCCTAGGGAAATGCAGATCAAACCCCAAGGAGATGTCACTTCACACCCACTAAAATGACTATAATAAAAGTTCAATAAAAAGTGGAAAACAAGTGTTGCTGAGGATATAGGGAAATTAGAGCCCCATACTTGCTGGTGGAAATGTAAAATGGTGCAGCTGCTGTGGAAAACAGTTCGATGGTCCCTCAAAAAACTAAACAATGACCATATAACCCAGCAATTCTGCTCTTAGGAATAAACCCAAACGAATTGAAAGCAGGGCCTTGAACAAATACTTACCCATGTCCACACAGCATTATCCACAATGGCTGACAGGTGAAAACAACCCAAGCGTCCATCAACAGATACATGGAGAAAGAAAATGTGGCACATGAGTACAACGGAACATGATTCGACCATACAAAGGAAGGACATGCTGATGCATGCTACAACATGGATGCACCTTGAGAACATCATGTTAGGTGAAATAAGCCAGACACAAAAGGACACATAGTGTATAGTTCCACCTCCATGAAACACCTAGAATAGGCAAATTCGCAGAGACAAAAAGTAGATCCAATGAGGGAGGGGAGCAGGATAGAGAAAGGGAGGAGAGGGATAGGGAAAGGGAGGAGCGGGATAGGGAAAGGGAGGAGCGGGATAGGGAAAGGGAGGAGCGGGAAGTCGTTGTTTAATAACCATTAGGCACGGTTTCTGCTTGAGATGATGCAAACATTTTGGAACTGGATATGGGGACAGTTGCACAGATTTGTGAATGTAATTAATGCTGCTGATTGTACACTTAAAAAATTGGTAAAAGGGCCAGGTGCGATGGCTCACGCCTGTAATCCCAGCACTTTGGGAGGCCAAGACAGGTGGATCACCTGAGGTCAGGAGTTCAAGATCAGCCTGGCCAACATGGCAAAACCCCATCTCTACTAAAAAATACCAAAATTAGCTGGGTGTGGTGGCAGGCACCTGTAATCCCAGCTACTCGGGATTGAGGCAGGAGAGTCGCTTGAACCCAGGAGGTGGAGGTTGCAGCAAGCTGAGATTGCGCCATTGCACTCTAGCCTGGGAGACAGAGCAAGACTCTGTCTCAAAAATATATATATATATTTTACCACCATTTTTAAAAATGAATAACGTCATATGCCAAAAAACCGCTGAATTGTGTACTTTATATGGCTAAGTTGTAAAGTATATGAATTATATCTCAATAAAGGTGAAAAATAAAAACAATTCACAAACACACACACACATACATAACCCTCAAAAAAGTTGTGAGTCCTCACCCAGGCCCACTCTGATGTCCACCAAAGATGTGATTTTCAGAGCGGATGGAGTCGCCTGCACCCAGTGTTAAGTGAAGTGGTGGCACCTGCAACGGGGCTGTTTCTGATCACCACGAAGGTGGCATGAGCACCTCCCACCACTTGTGTCAGCTGCGATTGGCTTGTGTCGTCCTGCGGATGCCAGTGGAACTGGGTTTTAGCTGTAGCATGTGCCTTCACGTCTTCACAGATCTTCATAGATCATGTCTTCAGTGTGTGAGGGAAACGGTTCTTCCAGCACCTTCTCAGCCCCTCTGCAGAGGACATTGACCAGTGTTTACAGAACCCAGTTTGAGACCCTCTTGGTGAATTTGGACAACTGAGCCATTCACTCTTCCTTATAAAACATGAGCAACTAGGGGGACAGCAGACACTTTCGAAGACTTTGGTCCCCCTCACATAGTGCAAGCTGAGTAGGGAGAAGCTAGGAGCCCCCTGCAAAGGGGGCTGCCATCTCAAGCTGGATCCCGCAGGGCCTCCCTGGCCTCCCCAGCCTCTCCCCACAGCCTCCTCCTGCCCATGCTCCAGCCTCACCACCTAGCACTCCTCCCTCAGCGGGCACAGTGCCCCCCGGCCAAATGCTCCAGGCTGTCCAGGAGTCCTTCAGCCTGAAAAACCCTCCATCCCTTATCCACTGACTTGACTATTTCTGGGTCTCAATCCACTGCTACCTCAACTTCGAACCCTTTCCAGACCCTGACAATCTGAGTTAGTTGATCTTCCTCTGTGCTCCCACCTTTGACATAGAGCTTATGTTGTCCTTGTCTATCTCTGTTTGATCTCTGAAGTCCTTGAGGACAGGGGCTGTGTGTGCATCTCTGCATCCCCATTGCTTAGCACAGTGATTGACACACAATCAGCTCTCACATGTTTGTTGAATGAATGAATGAATGAATGAGCGAATGGCAGGACCACCACATTAGACAACCCAGGGGACAACACTCACATTGAGGGGGCAGGAGACAGTTGCAAATGTAAGTACTGCCTGGAGCTGTACAGCTGGGAGATCTTGAATGATTGCCTCTTTATATCCCCAAGTAGAATCCCATCCTCTGAAGACGGTACACAGGGTGTTGTACCCCCAGCTTTCACACTAAGATGGCCCCTTGTCCAAGATCCTCCAAAATCATTCTTCACTGGCCAGTCCTGGTGATGCCTGTTCCTACATCCTACTCTGGAGATTCGATTTTGACCTCCAAGGGTCTCCAGAGACGGTCCTCTCCTCACTCTGTGCTTGTGTGCTGGAAGCGGCAGAGGCAGGGCCAAGGGAGGGAACTAACTTTTGATTCCATTTCCTCCGTTATCACGCCACCTTCTTCAAAGTGCCTCACTTGGGATTTCAGTCAAAACCCACAAAAATAAACTATATTTTCTAATTTTCCATTTTCGGAATATTACATTTTTATGTGGACAGCAATACCGGTGATTGTGCTCCTAAATTTCCCTGAACGGTCTAGAGGTCATTCTAATAACACACGCAGTGTATTTCAAAGAGTCCCCAGATCAGAGCAGCTTAACAATAGTGGATTGTCAGCACGAATTCCTGCTATGTATTTATATTCAAACTCGAAATTTTCCGCTAAGATTTCCAAATGCATCTCAGAGTCTTTGGCTAACACCAATTTGTGCCCCTTCGTGCTAATATGGAAACTACAATCAACTGAACATTTATTGTGTGTGTGTTTTTTTTAGTAAATGAGTATATGTTGGAGATTTTTTTTTTTTTTTACTACATAATAAAAGCAACATAAAATGAATTTGCTGCAGTGCTTCTTCACTCTTTAAAACTCCATGCCCCACCTGCTCGTGCTGTTCTTTACGTGGCATTCTGCCCGGACGGTAACTAGGTTATCAGCCGGGCCATGGCAGGAGCCTCGGGCCTTCGCGCTTCAGTCGAGCCTGCGTGTCCCACGGGGGTCCGCGCGGCGCTGATGGAGACCGGGATCAGTTTGCACCCCCAAGGGGGCTTGGCCACTCTGGATATTGCTTTTATAGACTCCGGTTGTGTCTGACTCTGTGTTTTTTATTACATTCCTTTGCAATTCTAGCAGCTGTTTTTGTCAAGAGTCTTAATAAAGTTTGAACTGCTAAACGAACTTTATGGAAATTGGTCACAGAAGTCGTCTATGCGGCACCTTTCAGAAAACCAGGGGTTACGTCGCCCCTGGGCTACCTCCGCGGTAACAGTAGTGACAAATAAACCTAACAGCGCGGGGGCAGGGTGATGGTTTGGCAACCCACTTCTCACCCGATTTCTGAGAGACGACCATCCACACACACTTAGTTCCTTTAGCTCCATTTACCGCAATTTATTGGAAACATTTGGCTGCGTGGCTCAGATGGTGAAGTTGCTTTAAGGACCTTTACAGAGAGTCAACTCATGTTTGGTGTTTTGTTTTGCTTTGGGTTTATTTCATGTTGCTTTCCAATTTTATAAACCTAAGACTTGGAATAATTGGACTTAGAAACTTTCTATGAAAGAAAAATAAAGTGAGATACTCTCAGTTTATCTCTCATTGCTTAATTATACTAAAATATTGGTCGATTTTGTTAAGCATATTAATTTGGCCATGAAGTTAACTTGATTTGATGGCATCTCTAGGAGCCAGTGAAAAACTCAAAACCCATTTTAGACTTGCCTTGGGTATAATGGTTTACCATCCACTTCACATACCGATGTTATGGAAGAATAATTCACCAACAGACCAAAACTAACCATTCATCAGTTTGGGGTGTGACTTCATCCATTTCCATGATTAAAACAGACCCTAAAAGCAATAAAGCAAACTGTTTCAGTAGCCTCAGCCCGGTAGCTGGACACCCACCATCCTGGATATTCCTGGATTATAATGTGTCCTTTATGAAACATCTCTTTGAGAAATTGGTGTTGCCACCAAACAGAGTTAGTTCTTAGCAACACTGCAGCTAGTTGAAATAAAATATTTATACGTAGATGACTCAGTGACTCACCTCAGACTTATGAAGTGTAAAATACAGAGGTCAGGTTAGATGGGCTTTAAAGATCCTCACACCTCTAACACTGGGGCTTTCTAGAACGCAGTGAGAGTTCTACGATGAGACAAGATAGCCACAGCGGGGGAGTCGCACTGGGCAGAAGGCACTGGTAACAGGGTGCTTTCACTGCGGAATCAACAGACGCTTCAGCCGTTCCAGGTGGGCTGCGGTGAGAAGCAGGTGACGCCCAGGTGCAGCTGGGTCAAGCTCCAAATCAAACCAAACTTCACAGAGCCTGTGGCTCCAGGGTCAGCACTCACATCCAGCTTCCTCTCCAGACTGTTGAGAACTGCATCTGAGTTTAATTTGCTTTTGTCTGTCAGAATCTATTCCAACAAAAAGGAGAGGGAAAATATACTCATGGCGAAGGACCCCACATCCTCTGCGGTGACGTCACAGCGAAACACTCCCTAGAGATGATTGCCAGTTCCATTCTCAGTTACCAGCAGCGAGAGTCGGTGGACACTTCTTTATGTTGTTCTTGCTACTTTAAAAAAAAATGGCCCGATTCCAATCACTTACTTATGTTCTGATACCCTAACGCCTGTGCTTCAAACAGCAACCGAATCTGCCTCTCATTACAATGACCTTCTTTACTCCTGTCCACATCGCAAAAGCACCCTTTCCGTTAACGACCAGCGGAGGGTGCTGTTGTATTTGGTGTGTTTCCACCTTCCCCCACTCTCAGAACATTTTTTTCCCCCTAAGGGAAAAGGGCTGTTTCCCATAGTAATGTGAACATGATGTATGATAATGAAAACAATAACTACATCAACATATTTTCCCCAGAAGTTGTTTTTTTTTTTTTTTTTTTTTTTTTCAGAGCGTGAATGTAGGGCTCTTACCTATAAGATACTAAGATAAATGAATGGACTTTGGAGAAGTGTGGAAGGTATTGAAAAATACTTTCAAGATGGACATGGGCTTTGCAGCCCTTGTAATTTAATGATTTTGACTACTGGATATTAGGAGTTTCATTACATGTCATCGTTCAATAGTTTAAAGATAATATAACAGCAATAAAATATAGCAAACAGCAAGAATAACATCTGGCCACAATCAGCCCAGTGTCATAAAATAGACTCCCTGACTGCCTTTCACGGGGCGTGAACCTGGCAAGAATGAAGGATAGAAAGACACACTTTCAGACCGAGTTGTGACAGCTGAATATTATTTCCAACCACTACACTTGAGATCTGTGCTAGGCACTGCTCCATTCCCTCCCTGAAGCCTGAACGCAAAAGACTCAATTTCGTTCTTGCCTCTTCCTTTCCCACAGTAAACTTCTGCTTCTACGTGACAATACCTTTTTTGTAGCTTCTTGCTAATTGGATTTTGCTCTGTACCACGCAGGTAACCTAATAAACCAATTTAAGAAGCCCAGCAAGCTTATAGCATGATCAAAAGAATCTAGAACGCCGAGTAAGGAAAGCTGGCTTTAGTTCAAGCACTTTCATGAATCCCTAGGAGGGCTGCCAGATAAAACATAAGACATACAGTTAAATTTGAACTTCAGATAAACAACAAATAACTTTTTAGTGTAAGTATGTCCCAGATGATATTTGGGATATATCTATGCTAAAACCTGTCTGTTGTTTATCTGAAATTTAAATTTAATTGGGCTTCCGGTGATTTTATTCACTGAATCTGTGAACCCTAACCCCTAGACATCAAGGACACCCAATTGGGAATGACCGCACTATGCTCTACAGAATTTCAAGTTTAAAATCTTGTTTGTCTATATTGCATGAAAATATTTTGAAAAGACTACGAATTTACATACAGTTAAAAATGTGACTGCTTTATAGCTTTTGAAGAAGATAGAGAAAGGTTTCCTTTCTCTCTTAGCCTAAAGAGCTTTCTGCTGCCAAAAGCCAGATGGAGAGAATTTGGCTGATTTATCATTCTTATTGATGGAAAACTCAGCTTAGGGAATGAGGTGTTTGTAAAGCAAGGCTGACAGATAACAACAGGATTCAGCCCAAGTCACACCAAACGAGTCAAAGACTTAGCTGCTCTTCTGCCGAACCCAGGTAGAAACCAAAGGGTTAGGCCGGGCGCGGTGGCTCAAGCCTGTAATCCCAGCACTTTGGGAGGC